TCAAAATGACAAATACCAAATTGAAAACGGAGCGTCACACTTGAGAAACTTCCCTCGTTAGTCATCGACACGGTGGACACAAAAATAAGCGCTCGATTTTCGATATTTAGAAGCAATCTTCGGCGATGCTGTTCTCTGATTTTAATTAACCTTTTCATTGAAAACAATTAAAATCAAAGGATATCATATCTTGTAATCTGGGATATGTGTCAAAGGTTAATTTAATGTTTCATTTATCATTTGCCGAGCCACGAAGTTCGAAAAACTATTTAAAATTTGAATTTCAACAATAAAACTAGAAGGAAATGCGTTGTATGACCATCATGATTCAAATCGATTATAATTTGAATAATCTACTTAAAATCAGAACTTTTTTTCTAACATTAATCGTCTAGTTTCCTTTCAGTCCGTTCTCTACCATTATTTCATATCTATTTTAGTTCGGTATTACTAATGTACTATTCAGTCTATTTTATTTCATTTTGACTGGCGTCTAACTTCAAAAGATTATCAAGCAATAGATCTTCAAGTTCTTTATTCATTAAGTTCAACACCAAGCTGTTTTCTTTAAAAAGTATCTCATAAAAAAATCAAAAATACTATTTTGATAGGCTGACTTCAAACCTAGGTTTAGAATAGCTTCAATTAACCTTGAACGAAAATTTTAAACAGAATTATCAAAACTTTCCAGTCCTTGTCAATAAATGTATCGACTTATAATATCTCTCTAGTTACTTTATTCGGTTTTTGTTTATCATTCATAAATCTCAAAAAAATAAGATTGAAGTTGTTTTTTCAAAATCATATCTTACCAAATGGACTCTTAACAAGTATTGGTTCAATAGATTCACATGGTTCTGATCGACCGTATTTATTTTCTGCACTGACACGAAAACGATATTTAGCACCATCAAGTAATTTACTAACAATTGTTTTTCTTTCTTCAATACTCATAACACACACTTCATCCCATGATGCAGCACGTCGTTCTTCACATTTTTCAATACAATAACCAGTTAATGGTGAACCACCATCATCATCTGGTTCTTCCCATGTTAATTCACACTCTCCAACATCCAATAATTTAACAATTAAATTCTTTGGTTTATTTGGTCGATCAAGTATTTCAATTGTACCATTTCTTTGATCTTGTCCATATTCATTTTTCAGTGTTATTTCATATAAACCTGAATCATTTCGATTTGTATTATCGATTGACATTTGTATATGTCCATGTTTAAGTAATTTATTTTTTATTTTATTATTTGTTTTATTCCATTCAATTGTTGGTTCAGGCCATCCATGATATAAAACATCAATAATTAATGGTTGATCATGTTTAATTAATTTTGAATTTGTTTGAAATGAATGAATTTTTGGTGGTACTTGTAATTTTAAAAATGCTTGTGCTTTTTTATCACGTGCTACACATACATATTCACCTTGATCATCAATATCAATTTGTAATAATTTTAAACGATAAATTGTATCTGTATTATGAAATTCAATTTTATCTTTTAAATAATCTAATTCTTTTTTATTATGTAACCATTTAACTTGTATACCAGGTCGATTTAATTCACATTCAAATAAACAAATATTTGGTAATTCAGTTAATATTTGATCTTCTGGTTTACGAACAAAGTAAATTGGTATTTCTTCAACAATTAATTTACCTATTGTTGTTACATCATCAGCTTGACATGTTATTATACCAATATCTTCATTTCGTACATCATTTATTGTTAATTTTAATGTTTTATTTGTTTTATCAAATTCAATTAAATATTTATCTTTATCATGAATTTCATCAATTAATTTTCCATTATGTAACCATTTAAAATCAATATCACGTTTAGCTTTAATATAAGTTAATTTTGAAACTGAACATTGAAAGTTTCCTGAATCACCTTCTTTAACACCAACATCAGTTAAACGTTCCGTAAATCGAACTTTTTCTTCATCAACAATAATTTGACATTGTGTTTTAACATCTGCGACACAACATGTATATTGTCCTTCATTATCAATAGTAACATTTTTAACAATTAAACGTAATTTATTTTTTTCACGACTTATATCATATTTTGTACCTGAATGAATTTGTTGATCATTAAAAAACCATGATATAGGTTTATCTGTACGATTAACAATACATTCAAGTATTAATGTTTGATCTTCAAGAATAGTACGATCTGATAATTTTTGAAGAAATTCAACTTCAAGATCACCAACAATTAAATTAGCAGATGTACGAATTTGATCTGTACCAGCTGTACATGCATATTCACCCGAATCAGTTAAACTAGCATTGATAATTGTTAATGTTTGTCGTTTATTGCCTGATGATTTTGAAATTTCAAAACGACCACCACCAACGATTTTAACACCATCACGATACCATTGTATAGGTATTTCAGTTTCTGTACGTGTTGAATGTGTTTTAGATATTTCACATTGAAATGTAACTGTTTCACGTTCAATTGTTTTAATATCTTCAAGTAATTGAGTGAATGTTACAGGAATTTCTAAACAAAAAAAATCCATTTTTTTTTTAATTTTCGAAATCTATGAAATGTGATGATCAGCACTCTTCAATTAAAGTTCTACTGTATAGTTGAATAAAAAAGACTTTTTTTATTTACGAATCGATAATCATATATATATATAAGCACAAAAAAAATTTACCTTTAACAGTAAGTTTAGCACTAACAAATTTATCCATAATAACACAACGATATTCAGCTTCATCTTCAAATTGTGCATGATGAATAATTAACTTTTGTATAGGTCCTGAACGTTCAATAGAATATTTAACTGTTGTTCGTAATTCTCGATCAACATTACGAAACCATTTACAAATAATTGTTTGTCCTGTTTTTTTCCATTTTGATTTATTTAATTCACATTCAAATTCAACATTTTCATCTTCAAAACATTCACGATCTTGTAATGGTGTTGCTGTTAAAACGAATTCTGGTGGTAATTCATCAACAGTTAATTGTGCTGATGATTTAACACGTGATGATGTACCACTACTAACTTGACAAGAATATGTTTTTTCATCAGATAATTCAATATTACGAATAATTAAAGTATATTTTGTTTTATCATTTAGTGTTGAATATTTTGAATTACTAAAATCAATTGGTTCATCATCACATTTCCATACAAGATTTATATTTGGTTTATTTAATTCAACATAAAATTCAGAAAATTCCGCTGTACCTTCCATACAAGTTTTATCATTCAATGGAATAATTATATCGATTGGAGCTTCTATTAAATAAAAAATAAACAAACAAGTATAAAAAATGATTTAATAGAAAAAAAATATTTAATTTACCAGTAACAGCAACTTGACATGATTGTTGTTTATCTTCAACTTTAATAGTATAAGTTCCAGCATCAGTCATTTTTGATTCTTTTATTTCTAATCGATAAAATCGTCCATCATTTGTTGCTATAAATCGACTTTCTTCTTCTTCTTCTTCTTGACTTGTTTTGATTTCTTCATCATCTTTCAACCATGTCACTTGACAATTATCTTTACTTAATGTACAACTTAATTTTAATGGTTGACCTTCTGTTACTGTTAAATCTTCAAGTGAACGAATAAATTCAACTGGTGCTTCTAAAAAAAATTAAAAAGTTTTTTTTTAAACGAAAAAAAAATTAAATTTACCTTTCATTTTCACTTGACACGTTGTATTTGCTTCTTTTATTGTACATACATATTGTCCATCATCTTTCATTTTACATTCATATATTGTTAATGTATGAACTTTATCAGCTGTTTTAATAAGTACACCATCAAGAGGACTATGTGTTAAAACTTGTCCATTACGTGTCCATATAGCTAAATTATCTCGTAATGGTTTATTTGTTTCACATTCAAGTACTAATTGTTGTTTTTCTACAACAGTTACGGTCTCATCTAATGGACGAATAAATTCATATGGTAATTCTTTAACAGTTAATTTTCCAGATGTTTTTTCTTGTCGACATACACAACCATATATAGCTGTATCATCTAATTCAAGACGATTTATAATTAAGCGTTGAATTTTATTATCAACTTCAAAACGATAATGATCATTTGGATAAATTTCCATTGTATCTTTATACCAACGACATTCAACATTACGTTTATTAAGTTCACATTCAAGAATACATTGTGACCATTCATCGAATTCAATATCTTTTAATGGACGGATAAATTGAAGTTTTTTCTCTAGACATAAAAAAAAAAAAATTATCAATTTGTATGTCCAAGTACATCAATTTAATAATCTCTAATATACTTAGAAAATTTTTAAATCAAATCTGTTACGTGTCTATCATTGAGAACTGGTCTACGATTTAATTGAAAAAATTTTTACAATGCTCTTTCAAACGCAAAACTGAGAGGAGAAATGAATACAAATCACTCTAACTAGAGGCATATTATGCTTTATTTCTCCAACATATTAGAAAGAAAGCTTTTGAATCGCTTCAAAAGTTTCAATTCATCTATGACGAATATAAATCGATCTGCAGAGTTTAATCGTTTTTCGGAAGTAATTTGGTATGTATATATTTTAACAAGAATAAATCAATCTTCATAACAAACATGAGAACTAAACTTTTATAGAATAGTGTCTATAGGAATTATAAGACGATATATCTACTAGCTCTCAGTTAAAGATTCCAATCAAATAAGCGGACAGAACTGTTCGAGCTGAACATATGCGGGATCAAGTTTTTTTTTGGTCCAGATCTCGATTCCAGTGACCAAGATCGGAATTATTCCCGCACATATCTAATTCGAGTATATCAAATCCTATCATTAGATCTACTCAAACAGTTTATTTAATAGAGCCTAGAATTAAATTTGTCGACTTCTACATCCGATAAGATATTCTAGCAATGACATTTATATGATTTTATTACCTTTAACAGTAGCAATAGCTTTGCTTGTTTTATTATTAATTTCAGCTTGATAGCGTCCTTCATCAGTTAATTGACATTCATCAATAATTAATTTAACAATAGGACCGACTTTTGATGTTTTAATACGTTCATTATCAATAATTAATCGATCACCATTAAATGACCAAATAACTTCATCATCGGGTCGATCTTTTGTCAGAATACATTCTAATATAAGTGGTTCATCTTCAATAACTGTTGTATTTTCTAAACCAATCTCAAATTCAGTTGGAGCATCTATAAAAAAAATTAAAACAGAAAATTGTTGTTTTTTTTTTATATAAAATTCATTTTTGTTTTTCTTTTCGATAAATTACCTTCAACTTGAAGTGTACCAATTGATTTAATATCTTCATTAAATTGACATGTATATTTTCCTGCATGTGTTAATTTTACTGAATTAAAAACTAATGCATGTATACGTCCATGAGTTTCTACTCGAATTTCATCATTTGAAACTAATGCTTGTTGTTCATCATCTTTAAACCATTGTGCAATTTTATTTTCTTTATTTATTTCACAATCAAGATGATAATCAGATGTATTTTCCATAATTGTTGATAGATCTTTTAAAGGACGTGTAAAATATACAGGTAATTCATTGATTTTAATATTTGTATTTGCTTCAATATTAGCTTCGTTTATACGAAATGTATATTTTCCTTGATCATTAAGTTTAAGATCATGTAATTTTAATTGATATTTTTCACCTTGTACACTCATTTTAATACGTTCATTATTTTCAATTGGTGTACCATCTTTCAACCATTCATATTTTAAGAAACTTATTTTATTTAATTCAATATTTAATATTAAATCATCATTTTCAGTTATTATATATTCATCATTTAAACCTTGTACAATAGCTAATGGTAATTCATTAACATGTACTTTACATGATGAATCAACATGTTGTGATGGATATAGACATGTATATGTTCCTTGATCATCCATTTGAATATTTTTTATTATTAAACGATGTACAAGATCATTATGTTCAAGAAATATACGTTGTTCATCCGTAAAAGATGTTAATTGTGTTGAAAAACGATACCATTCAACATGAACCGATTTATTTAATTCACATTCAAGAATTAATTCTGATGAACGTTCTTGTATATCAACATCAGTTAATGGACGAATAAATTCAACAGGAATTTCTAAAGGTAAAAGTTATGTTGTTTAATGATAAAAAACAAATCTAAGAAATATTATTAATATATACATTGCGGAGGATAAATGAGGCACTTTTTTTCGACTAACGAAAGTGCTGAAAGATATTGTTAGAGATTCTACGAAAAAACCTCAAATTTTCCTTTACATTACTAAGATCTTTACTAAGTAATATATGATCAGAGACACCAATTGATATTATTATTCATTGTTAGTGACATAGCCCAATATAGATTGGCAACCATTAAATCAGCAGGTAAGTACACAAATTTTAAAATCTATATCAAGAAAACTTCATTCTCTAAGATTAAAGCTTGTAGTATATATCTACAATATTATTTTGTATCTACCTAATGTTTTAACGATTTCAGTTCCACGTGACAGTCTTTTACTATCATATTAGTTGAGATCGTCTCTTACTTGATTTCGTGTGAATTTTAAAATTATATTATTTGTTTAAAACTTTTTTAAACTTACCTTTAACACTGACAAATGCTGAACTCTTTCTGTCACTTTCTGTAACAACATCATAATTTCCTTCATCATTTGGTGACATATTACTAATAATTAATCGATGAGTTTTTTCTTCTGTTTCAAATCGACATCGATCATCTGGTTTTAATTCTTGATTATCAAAAAACCATTTAACTTGTTTATTAGGTTTTGTCACAATACATTCAAGTGTTAATGTATCATATTCTGTTAATGATTGATTTGATAATGGTTTTTCAAAATCAATTGGCAATTCATTAACTGTTAACGTTGCTTTTGAATTAATTGTTTCATTATAAATACATGAATATTCTCCTGTATCATCAAGTGTTAATGAATGAATTTCTAATTGAAAGTAACGTTGATTTGGTTCACCTTTACGTATAAAACGTGTATCATCTGGTAATTCTGTACCATTTTTAAGCCATTTAACATTTTCAATTGGTTTTGTAAATATACATTCAAATGTTATTTTATCTTTTTCGATACCTATTGTATCAACAAGATGTTTACCTATTTCAATAGGTCTTTCTGTAACAGTTAATTGCATAGATGATTCAATTTCACCAACTTCATTTGTTAATTTAACAGCATACGTTCCTGTATGTTCTAATTTTGTTTCTAATATAATTAAACGATTTTTTTCTATACGATATTCATTTGATGTTGATGATATTATTTCATTATTTCTTGTCCATTCTATTGTTGGTTCAGGAAAACCTTCAGCTTGATATTCAATAGCATATTGTTCAACAAACTCATGACATTGTGCATCTTTTAATTGTTCAATAAAATAAGGTCGAATAAGAACAAGTAATTTCGTACGCATTGTAGCTGAACCAAATTCATTTGTTGCATGACATATGTATTCATCTTCATGTGCAATTTTATTAACTTGTTTTATTAATAATATTGATGCATTTTGATCAGTATCAAATGCAATTGAATAATTTTCATCTTTATCTGATAATGTTTTATCATTTGATGCTCGACTCCTAAAATAATAAAAAGAACAAATTGATTAGAAATATGTTTTTTTTTTCCTTTTATTTACCAAGTAAATTGTGGTAATGGATAAGCATCAATTGAACTTTCAATTCTTGTATCATCACCTTGAATAGCTTTAACTGTTTTACCAAATTCAGATGAAAATTGTGGCGATTTTTCACAAGTTACTTTCACTTTTTTAGATTTAACACTACCACCACCATTTGATAATGTACATGAATATTCACCAATATGTTTTGGCTGTGTTGAAGAAAAACGTAAATGATATATACGTTTATCATTTTCATCAATTAGAGATTCAATTTCACCAGGAATTAATGTTAAATCTTGATTATTAAATGTCCATTTACATTGTGGTTGAGGTTTACCTTCAGCTATTATTATTAATTCACATGGTTCACCTTTTTGAACTGTTTTGCCCTCGAGATCAGTAATGATTGTTGGTTTAATTTCTAGAAAAGTAGAACATTTTTTTTTTCATAAATACTATTTTATTATCATTTAGTTAACATCAATTAAAGAGCTATTTCTTTTCTAACTATATAAATATTATGAATTTAGTTCATTGAAACTATTATTCACACTAGATTTGATTAATCAATGTTATAGGTCAACAATAAATGACCTTGGCGTTTTTCTCTAACAATATCTGTCATCGTCTTGTGTACATGAACAAGTAAAGAATCAAGATTTGAGCTATTTATTGGCTGCTCTCAAAAGAAAGTTAAAGATCCAATTAGATCTTTTCGTTTGCTAGATGCTTAGTAAATTAAAAATTTTCACTTCACCCAGTTGAAAATACTATAAGCGAACACTTCATGAGGCAAAATGTAGCAGAGGCATATATCTTGTCTTATAGAGTACTCATTTTCATTTTATTTATAAGTTTAAGAAATGAGTATCTAAATGAGATAATAAAACTAACGGTATCTTATCACGCATGCGTCTGCTAAAGACTAAATCCCTTCTGTTTACGTTTCAAAATTTGACCTTTATTCTCTTTAATACAAAAACTTAGTAACAAAGTTTAACAGTTGGCGTGATTAAGACACGAGCGGTATATAAGTCTGATATACCGAATAGCAACTCAAGTATCAGATTAAATTCAGTTTCAAACTGAATATTAAAGTTTACATTCAAATGATTGCTTAAATTTTGAATACATTTTCATTCTCCACTTATATTAGCTAATCAATATACTTTTCCCTAATAAATCAAAGTACTTCTTTTTTTTTTAAACGTACCTTTCGGTGTTAAATTCATTTTTCCTTCAGCTTGTCCAACCATATTTGCAACTTGAACTGTATAGCTAGCTTTATCATCAATATCAACATGTTTAAAAACAAGTGCTTGAATACCCGTATCAACTTCATTAATAACTTCAATATTATCATTTGGTAAAGTTAATATTTCACCATTCTTTAACCAAGTTACATTAAATGGTTGTGAACCAGAAAATTTACATTGTATTCTAGCTGATTCTTCAATAATTGGTTGTGCATCTTGTGGTTTACCTTCTAATTTTGGTTTTACTTGTACAAGCAAATTGGCTTGATTTTCAATTGTTTGTTCATCATTTGTAATAACAACACGATATTTACCAATATCAATTAAATCTGTTTTATTGACAGTTAAATTTATTAATGGATATTTTGTTTCAATTTTATATTTCGCTGATGCTTTTATTTCAATATCATTAAAATACCATGTAATTAATGTTGGTTTTGGTAAACCAAAACATTCGCATGAAAATGTTACGGGTTGCCCAACAATTGTAGCAACATCAGAAAGTGTTTTAGTAAATTGTAGATCAGCTTTAACAATTGTATTTACATTCACCTCAGCTTTTCCAGCTTTATTTTTTATTTGTAATGTATAACGTGCTTGATCATCACCATCAGCTTTAGTAATTTTAAATGATTCTTTATTATTTTCTTTATCAGATGTGAATATATAATTTGGATTTTCATTTAATTTAAGTTCTTTACCATTTTTCAACCATGTTATATCAACTTGTGGACGACCTTCAATTTCAAATTGATATTCAATTTCATCACCACGTTTTAAAAGTGTATCATCGATAGTAGCTGGTGATATACTTGGTGGAACTAAAGATATAAAAGAAAAATACAATATTACAAAAAAAAGAAGAAAAATTTATTTAGTTAAATAACATACTTAAACATGAAAGTTTCGCTTTACTTGTAACCTCGCCAAATTCATTATGTATTCGCACATTGTATTCATCTTCATCTTCAACTTGAATATTATGAATTATTAATTGACGATGTTGATCATCGGACCATGTATATTTATCACTTAATTCAATAACTTTGTCATTTCCACGCATCCAAATAATTTCCGGTATTGGATATCCTTGAACATCAACAGTAAATATTGCATCTTGTCCTCGTAATACTTCAAGATCTTTCAATTGTGCTTTTAATGTTGGAGCTGTTGTAACATTTAATTGAATTGAATGTTCAGTTGTACCAATAGCATTTTCTGCACGACATAGGATGGTACCCATATGTTTAGTTGTATCAACTTGAGGTATACGAAGTGTATAAAGACCTTTATCA